TATTTAGGGGCCACCCCTCCAAGACCTTAATGGGGCCGTTTGACAAAAATTAAAAGGGTGCATATTGTTTAGAATATTATTCTGACCATCTTTTGTTCAGTATTGCTTATCAAAATATTCCCCCTTTTCGAGATATAAAGCGTCAAAGATTTAGCATTCTGGCCCCTTGTGACCCCTTATTACGTAACATATGATCAGAATCTTATCATATATTGTCGTAAATCGTTAAGATAAGCATCTTTGCTTCAGTAATGTATTACAAATTATTGATCGTTAAAGAGTTATAGGTTGAAGACTTTTGGCCCCTCTCAGCCCCTAATTTGAGGGGTCAGCCCCTTTTTCTTGATATCAAATGAAAGATCTTGTGATTTTGAAGACTTTTTGTTCAACAACTATTCAGAGATTTCTTTTCGTTATGGAGATATGCTGAATGGAAATATTTAGGGGCCACCTCTCCAAGACCTTAATGGGGCCGTTTGACAAAAATTAAAAGGGTGCATATTGTTTAGAATATTATTCTGACCATCTTTTGTTCAATATTGCTTATCAAAATATTCCCCCTTTTCGAGATATAAAGCGTCAAAGATTTAGCATTCTGGCCCCTTGTGACCCCTTATTACGTAACATATGATCAGAATCTTATCATATATTGTCGTAAATCGTTAAGATAAGCATCTTTGCTTCAGTAATGTATTACAAATTATTGATCGTTAAAGAGTTATAGGTTGAAGACTTTTGGCCCCTCTCAGCCCCTAATTTGAGGGGTCAGCCCCTTTTTCTTGATATCAATTGAAAGGTCTTGTGATTTTGAAGACTTTTTGTTCAACAACTATTCAGAGATTTCTTTTCGTTATAGAGATATGCTGAATGGAAATATTTAGGGGCCACCCCTCCAAGACCTTAATGGGGCCGTTTGACAAAAATTAAAAGGGTGCATATTGTTTAGAATATTATTCTGACCATCTTTTGTTCAATATTGCTTATCAAAATATTCCCCCTTTTCGAGATATAAAGCGTCAAAGATTTAGCATTCTGGCCCCTTGTGACCCCTTATTACGTAACATATGATCAGAATCTTATCATATATTGTCGTAAATCGTTAAGATAAGCATCTTTGCTTCAGTAATGTATTACAAATTATTGATCGTTAAAGAGTTATAGGTTGAAGACTTTTGGCCCCTCTCAGCCCCTAATTTGAGGGGTCAGCCCCTTTTTCTTGATATCAAATGAAAGATCTTGTGATTTTAAAGACTTTTTGTTCAACAACTATTCAGAGATTTCTTTTCGTTATGAAGATATGCTGAATGGAAATATTTAGAGGCCACCCCTCCAAGTCCTTAATGGGGCCGTTTGACAAAAATTGAAAGGGTGCATATTGTTTAGAACATTATTCTGACCATCTTTTGTTCAGTATTGCTTTTCAAAATATTCCCCCTTTTCGAGATATAAAGCATCAAAGATTTAGCATTCTGGCCCCTTGTGACCCCTTATTACGTAACATATGATCAGAATCTTATCATATATTGTCGTAAATCGTTAAGATAAGCATCTTTGCTTCAGTAATGTATTACAAATTATTGATCGTTAAAGAGTTAAAGGTGAAAGACTTTTGGCTCCTCTGAGCCCCTAATTTGAGGGGTCAGCCCCATTTTGTTGATATCAAATGAAAGGTTGTATCATTCTGCACAACTTTTCTTCTATATGTTTTAACAAATTCTTAACATGTATGAAGATATGAAAGAAAAGGTGTAAAAATTTTTGAGATGTTTATGAGACATGTTTTGAGCCCTACCGAGCTTCGGCGCCTTTTGCGCTAGAGAGATTTGGACACCTGCCTGCAAATCTACAAACCTTCCCCTACCTTCACTGAAAATCTTGACTCAATATCTGAAGTCGTTTCGGAGGAGTTTCCAGGACAAGCCGACCCTCTGAAAATCAGAAAATCCTAAATATCTCGAGATGGAAAGTGACGTCATCAACGAAAAAAATTTCCAATAAGGTTCAGATCAATACCTATCAGATCTGAAAGTTTCATGAAAATCGGCCAAGACGTTACCGAGAACTTGCGTGCACAAAATCGGTAAGAATAATAATAATAATAATAATAATAGGGAAAAAGAAACCGAACGAAAACAAGAAGGTCTTCCGTTGGAGACGGAAGACCTTAATAAGAAACAGTAGAATCACTATAAGGTCTTCCGTGAAGACGGAAGACCTTAATAATAATAATAATAAGAAACAGAGTAAAAACAATATGTTCCCAAACTTCGTTTGGGGAACATAATAATAATAATAATAAGAAACAGAGTAAAAACAATATGTTCCCAAACTTCGTTTGGGGAACATAATAATGAGAAAAAAAAAATAAAATATTTTACAAAGGTATATGGATGTATTGCATAAATACGCCCTTTTTTAAAATTGTAATGCAATAACATATTTATCAGTCAGTTTCATTTTTTATGATGATTTATTGAGCAGACTTCTACATGTTTCCCGGCCGTGATTATACTTGGACAAGATGATACAAAGAGGCATTCATATCATTTGTTATATATTAAGTTTTCACAACTTCATATTTAGGTAATATGCTGTCATAGATTTTATTAAACAGACAAATTAGAGAGAGAGAGAGAGAGAGATTTGGTTTTACCCCCCTTTCTCAAATGTTTGTACCTATATCAAATAAAATTTCTTAATTATTTTCTAAATATACCAGTCAATGAAAAAACTATTTTTATTACCAAACCTATTTGTGTTACAGTCATAATCGGTTTTTTTATTTTCCTGCTTCAAGTTCACACGAAGTCCACGTGCTTGACCTGTCAATCAAAATCATTCGACACTGTGCAGGTGTGAAAGTCTCGTCACACCGAAGGCAAAGCGTTAAGTATCTCCAAGAAGTTTTAACATTTTTTCTTATCATTTCTAGATCTGATTCCAACACTTCTAAAAAAAAAAAAATAATAATAAATGAATAAAATACATTGGGAATAAAAACTTGGAATGATTAAGCCGCTTGAATTTGAAACCTACTCCCTGCCAATTTAAAATATCACCGCCGGCACATGTATATTTTGAACTACTATTGTTTAATGACTTTGTTTACATGCATTGTTTTGAGACTGAAATTTTTGTGCTACAAAACACATTAACTTCTATTTAAATGTTAATTAAAATACAGGGCTCGACATTAACGCTTGTCCGCTTGTCTGGTACCAGTGAAAAAAAATTACGGACAAGTGAATATTGCTGGGCACTTGTCCGATTGGACAAGTGCATTTTAATGTAAAGGAGTCTCTAAATAATTTAAAAAAAACGACTGTTGAAAGTTAATCGGTAGTTTCAAGACGGAAGCTGTACATAAAAACCGGACTTCGATCCCGATAGGGATCGCTATTAATGAGTTCAAATTTGATCGGGATCCAAGTTCACTAATTGCATACTACTGAAAAGGCATGGAACTTATGAACTTTACGAAGTTTGGTTCACTTGTGGACATTTATGTTGTTGTCAGACCAGAAAGACTAGATAAAATTTCATTTTATGTGTTTGTTGTATTTATCAATAACATCACGAATCAATCAAGCACATGTCATGTGTAATGGACTTTATTTTAGTTTTCCAGTTGACAGTATTAGATATTTATTAAAAATTTTTCGGACAAGTGAAGTTGAAGTTCGGACAAGTAAATGTCTTGGTCACTTGTCCGCATGGACAAGTAGGAAAAGATGTTAATGTCGAGCCCTGAAATATACTGGAACTACTACCTAAGTAACAGATTTACGGGAAAGGGGGGGGGGCTCTTAATTATATCCAATGACAAATATATAAAGTTATGGTGAAAAATATCATCACTGGAGAATCACTTTGGTTATGTTAATGATTATCATGTTATAAAGGCATTTCTCTCTCTCTAATTAAAGACTTTATATTTGTAAAGTAGAAAAAAATTCTATAACGTATTAAATTTTAAACAAATATTTTTTTTTTCAAACCACACTATCAATTTAATTCCCTCTAAAGATATTTTAATTTAACTGGATAGCTGCAGTACTGTTTTTAATCCTCAGAATTAGTTCTAACATGTATTTCTGTACTATTTAAAAAAAAAATATGTTAGAAATAAATATTTTCGTATTTCTGCTGAAGTTGGTAAATTAATTGACTTCGGTTATTATCTATCCATTAACGATTTGTCGTCTTTAACACAACAACAAAATGTTGCAGTGCTTGAAGCATCTGTATATTGCCGGTATTTAAATTTGATTTTTCAGCATCGTTCTACATAGGTACATACATGTACTTATAAAAACATTTATTTTCCAGATAAATTTAATAAATAACCTAACAGCTAAGTTAGAATAATAAAAATAAATATTGTGGATAATTTTTTGTTTAAACACGATATGTTAATTATTAAATTTGTAAATCCTTACTTAAAAAAAGATAAGTCCATTCACTTCGGAGTTCCGAATGACAATAAAGACTGAACGATAAGTGAACGCTGAACGCAAAGTGAACGAACGAAGAGCGAACGCTGAACGCTTCGTGAACGGTGAACGCGAGCGCACGGTGAACGCTGAACGCAACACTGTGAACGGAGAGCGAATGGTGAACGCACAGTGAACGAACGGTGAACGCACGCTGAACGAACGGTGAACGAACGGTGAGCGAACGGAAAAATGGGAAAGTAGAACGTTTCAGGGACTGTAGCACAAAAAGACAGTCTAAAGTCATTCGCTAGATCTTCACCTTAAAATGAAGTAAATGAGGAAAACAAACTAGAACTGTCCAAAATGGACAAATACCCCCCACTGGGTTTTCAAGAGGAGGTGCCATATAAAACAATGAAAATAATTCTAAGATTTTTCTCAATCTCAGCAGACAGCTCACAAAAGATTTGCGAAGAGATTTAAATGTTGCTGGTCCTGAAGACTGTCCTTAAGTTGGGAACATTCCTTGAGTTCACTTGTTATTAATTTGCATGTATGGCTTACCTGTTGTTTCATTTACCAGGGGACATAACCTCTCATTCTTGTCCCAGTTACACGAGTCACTCTCGGTCATCTTTCTTGTGTATACAAATGGCACAGATTCCAAAGTCACAATCTATCACGAAATTTTACATCACAAATTTAGAAAACACATCTTTTAAAAAATTTGTTCATATAAGTCTTGGGACTCATTTTTTTAAAAATAAATAATCATTTTGAAAGACAAGGTTGATATAATTCACAATAGGTAGAGTTTTGCCATTAGTCACCGCAGTAACTCAGAGGAAATAAATATTAAATATTATATAAGAGAAAATAAATATTAAATATTATATAAGAGGAAATAAATATTAAATATTATATAAGAGGAAATAAATATTATATATTATATAAGAGGAAATAAATATTAAATATTATATAAGAGGAAATAAATATTAAATATAACAATTAAGACTTAATACCTTTAATTCTGTAGAGATGTTAATTCCACTTGGCCTGGTTGTCTTCTTGCCTGGCCAAACTATTTTGGACTCATTAATTCCCAGAACATTACTAATGACCTGTAAACTATACTTATTATAACATGTATCATGCACTCCAAGGCATGCAACATTAATTTTTTGCATTGCAATACATGTGTCATAATTCACTATTCACACACACTAAATTCACTAATAATTTTCATCAGAAATAAAATTCACATCAATGATAGAGATATTTTAGGATGATCCTTATTGTTAGATGTATATGTATAAGATAATATTTACATTCAGTGTAATTTTCTTTATGAAATCCATTGGAAATCTACAACAATGAACCCCCTATAACACAAATCGCAGGTAGGTTAAGGCTTCCCGTAGAATATGATAGTGCACTCTGTGCCTTCACATCTCTGAACTACCAATATATGACGTCATAATGGAGAATGACGTCAGGTCACTGCAAACTTGAGGTGTTATGACGGGGAGAGTGTCATGAACTTTACACTTTATTTCAAACTGCATGTAAAATGCTAGATAGCTATTGCAAAATTCACGGGTCGTTAAAGGTTTTTTAAGTCTTATATGTCCGAATATTTTAAAAATGCACCGCTTACCTACCCTTGATTGAAATTCATCATGTTCAAAATGCTTATGAAAAATATACTTTTGAAATGTACTCTGTTTTATACCCGTGGTTGGAGGTAGAATTTATTTTGTGTGTATAAAAGAGTCTGGCGCAGGTGATTAATGAGGATTAATCTGAGAATTTTTGAGGAGATCTGAAAGAAGAGGTTGTTCTCTATCTGAATCTTGCTTGGGAAAAATGTGTGTTGGCTTTGTTTTAATACAGATTACGATATTGTGTGGAAAATACCCTCAAATTTGTAGGTAAGTTGAATTTCTTAGGAAATATTTTGTACCCAAATAATACTATAACTTTTCCCAAGCACATTTCGGATACACAAGGATACGATGAATTTATTTATGTAACAAAATGTTAATAATTATTGTGTTAATCAGCTGCGCCGAAGCGATTTATATGAAACACTTCAAAAAATTATAAATGACTGTCACGTGATCAACAAAGTCATGTGATATCATAACAAATATGCTAATATATAGCCGAGGAAACCCTTTATATAAATTGGAAGTACTAAAGTTCAATACTTATAAATTAAAACCAAAACCGACCTCGCAATGATATATTATGTTTTGAGCGCATTTTAAAGCTTCGGGAAGCCTTAACATAGCTGCGATGAAACCTTGTCGCAGTGCAGTAGAAATACACAATAAGAACTACATACACTTTAAATACACTAGGAACACCAAAAAGGCAAAATATATATTGTTTAGACTCAATTTAATTAAGAACAAATGCCCTATTAAATTGTTGTAAAAATAGAATAATTCTACATTAAGAATTAATTTGTCTTTTTTTTCCCCCTCACTATATTCATTTGCTTTATTTAACTTTTCATGTCATAAAGGCTCCTACGTCTTTTTAACACACCAGTTGTGAAAGGCGATAAATCATAATTAAACTGAATGGAATTAATATTTAAGAAGAGAGAAAATTAGAGAATGCAAATATAAAAATTGATTTCTTATTTCTGTATGTTGTTGGTCGTATAACAGGACCTGTCTGGGCCGACAAATGAACATACTGCGCAAATGCGTGGTATTCAATTTGTCGGCACAGTCAGTGCTGTTATATGACCAATGACATCTAAAAATAAGAATTCAATGCTGAAATGAAATTGATGGGTGAGAATTAGTTTTTCAATAAGATCTTGAAATTATGTATCTTGATATTTTCTACTGAAAATGACTGAAAATTGAAGGGGGACATTTATGAAAAGCTTGTACTGTCAAGACCTTTGGATTTCCATAGAAGCCAATATTTTCAATGCTAGGCTTTCCATTTTTCAGCTGAACATTCTGAAAATAGTAGACAGGATTCAGGCGATCTCCTGATGAATCAAATGCAATCTGTCCAGTCTTGCCTTTTTCCAACTTGGCATCCAAGAGAGCCCTGAAAAAAAGTTTTATTCCATACTTTGGTAAACATGGTACAGTATCACAGATTGCTGAAATCATACAAACAGAAGAACAAAGGTTTTCAATGGTATGAGGAATGATGCCTGAACACAATAGGCTTGAATTTCATTATTTTGGTAGAATATGCCTACTGCTCATTATAATTGTGATACTATGTTCATGAGTAAAGAAGGTGGAATGCTTTTATTCAGTACTAACCTACTAAGTCGCACCCTAGGACCTGAATCCTGGTAAATGGCTGACTACTCATTGTTATCATGCAAAAATGCAAAAAGTTTCAAAGTAAATGTTCATGGGTTAAAGATTTTCAAAGCTTCAAAATTCTTTCCAAAATATGATAAATTCATCCCCACCTTAGAACCTGAAACCCTAATCCAGGTGCCCTAAATTTCCCTTTTGTAGAGGTAATATAGCTGCTAGCTCATAATTGTCACATATTTAGTTTACCTGTCAGATATTCAAGAATATATATTTTTTATAATATAATTATGATAATGAAAATGAATTTTCAATGCTTAATCCACTGTTGAGCCTATCCTGGGCCCAAAGTGCCATGATTACAAAAGTTTGGTAGAAGGTTATAGTAGCTCGATCATCAATATCATGCAATAAGATTGCATGCTAGAAGTTCAGGAGTATAAAAAAATATTTTCAAAGATATAATCAATACATGTATATTTTCAATATAATCTAAAATTTATAACCCCAGCCTTGAAACTGATCCTAGGACCGATTTAGTAATATTGGTATAGGATAACCTGTTCCTGATTATCATGTGAACAGTTTGCCTGGTAGATGACTCAGTGGCAGTGTGCAGAAAATGATTTTTGTAGATTACATGAATTTTGAAGACTTTGAACCCCCAACCCCTCAGGTCCTTTGAGATTGGGACCGTGACATTAAAATCTTTTATTCCACTTTATCCATAGATGCTATAAAACAACAATGGTTCTGACAGCCATTTTAAAAAGCCACTTGAAATATTCAAAAGTTAAAGACAAACAAGCCAATTTAAAGAACTGTGGTCCCCTGCTTTCAATCTCTTTGTGGTTGGGATGCAATTAATTAATGACAATTTGTAACTGTCTTGTCTGTGAATTGTTTTGTCTGTCCATACATGTACAAAAAAGATTCTTTGAATTCATAATTACAAAAGTTGCAGCCAAGATTAAAGTTTCTAAAAACTGCATCAAATTATGTCTTCACTATCAGAGTCATGAGGTCAAATATCATAGGTCTTTTCACATGTGAAAAAATATGAAAGCCCTGTTTCTTCTAACTGAAAGAAAAGTTACAACCAAAATTTTAGATAAGTAGGTAAAATGTCTAGGTCAAGGTCATAAATTCAAAAACGATATTTCTTTCTGAAAGATGTTGCCACAGGTAATGTACATGTAAAATATGAAAGTCCTATTTTCTCTCATTCAAAAGTTATGTAACAAGAAAGGAGAAAATGTATGGCTGGACAAGGAATCGAACCCGGGACCCCTGCATCACTAGTCAGGTGCTCTACTGATTGAGCTACCCAGGCCGATATCCATGACCCAATTCAGTTCATTCCTCCCTCCTTAAATTGTCTTTGCCCTTGACGACACAACCCAAGTTCTTATTTGCCCCTGGCAGGGCTTTCACCTGCAAGTCCAGGGGTGGTCAACAGCACCAAAGGCCTATATCCACTGTCCAAACCATTACAGTTATTACCAATGTTAAAAATTTTGAAAAGAACTGTAGGTTAAACTCTCAGGTTGTCACAACATCTAAAATTCATACATTGGGAAAAATCTTAAAACAGGTAAACACATACAATGTTTGAAAGGTTCATCACTTATATCAATATGGTCAATTACATATATCGGTTTTCTATCGAATCCTTCTAACTATTATTATGTCCAATTGGATTGTAAAATTAGTTATATGTATTTTTTTTTCCTCAACAATAACACAGATATTTACTTGTATATAAGATAGAAACCAGATGATCAAATAAACCATCTCAAGCATCTATATAAGCACATGTAACCAAATTTTGTCTGAACTCCACCTTTAAAATGTAAATGATGATTAATGCAATTAAAAAGTGTGTATAATGAGCATTGATTTTTAATATATAATGTCCTGTGAAAAACAAACAAAGAAAACATTTCTTTCCTGAACATTAAACAAAGAATTTACAAGAAGAAAACATTTTAAAATTTACTGTAATCTAAAATAATCACAAGTAATCATGATTACATGATGAAAAAGTAATCAGCTGTAATTGATTACTTTTACAAGAGGCCCAAGGGCCTTAACGGTCACCTGAGTATAATACAACAACTTAGAGGATCAGAGGATCCATAGAGTATAAAATGAACTGAAAGGTGAAGCTTTAATTGTTGCCCAAAAGCAAAAAAAAAAAAAAAACCAGAAGTCTCTGATGAGACTGTAGCTCTACTGGTCTGTACGTATAACAAAGGAAAAGTAGCAGTTTGATTTGAAACTTTGCAACAAGAAACAATAAATAGAATTATGTATCTTAATGTAGTCTACTTCTGTGCCAAATTAAATTGAAATCAAATGAAAACTGTAGGAGGAGTAGCATTTTGAAAGTATTTCACAGAAATTTCTATTTTTAGTAACCATGACAACACCATTCACTGAAATCAAAAACCGAAATACATATTATGTATCTTAGTGTATTCTTATTGTGTGCCAAATTAGACTGTAATCAGACCAAAACTGTAGGAGGAGTAATGTTTTAAAGGAATTTCACAGGAAATTCTATTTTTAGTAACCATGGAAATACCGTTCATCGAAATCAAAAACCGATGCACTGAATTATGTATATTAGTGTAGTCTACTACTGTGCCAAGTTATACTGAAATCAGACCAAAACTGTAGGAGGAGTAGCGTTTTATAGGAATTTCACAGAAATTTTTATTTTTAGTAACCATGACAACACCGTTCATCGAAATCAAAAACCGATGCATTAAATTATGAATCTTAGTGTAGTCTACTTGTGTGCCAAGTTATATTGAAATCAGACCAAAACTGTAGGAGGAGTAGCGTTTTAAAGGAATTTCACAGAAATTTCTATTTTTAGTAACCATGGCAACACCGTTCATCGAAATCAAAAACAGATGCACTAAATTATGTATCTTAGTGTAGTCTACTTCTGTGCCAAGTTATACTGAAATCAGACCAAAACTCTAGGAGGAGTAGCATTTTATAGGAATTTCACAGAAATTTCTATTTTTAGTAACCATGGCAACACCATTCATCGAAATCAAAAACCGATGCATTAAATTATGTATCTTAGTGTAGTCTATTTGTGTGCCAAGTTATACTGAAATCAGACCAAAACTCTAGGAGGAGTAGCGTTTTAAAGGAATTTCACAGAAATTTCTATTTTTAGTAACCATGGCAACACCGTTCATCGAAATCAAAAACCGATGCACTAAATTATGCATCTTAGTGTAGTCTACTTGTGTGCCAAGTTATATTGAAATCAGACCAAAACTGTACGAGGAGTAGCGTTTTGAAAAATTGTTTACAGACAGACGGACAGACAGACAGACAGACAGACAGACAGACGGATGGACGGACGACGGACACCTTACTATCGCATAAGCTCTTCTGGTCTCTGACCAGTAGAGCTAACCAGAAGTCTCTGATGAGACTGTAGCTCTACTGGTCTGTTTGTATAACAAAAGAAAAGTAGCACTTGGATTTGAAACATTGCAACATGCAACAATAAATAGAATTATGTATCTTAATGTAGTCTACTTTTGTGACAAGTTATATTGAAATCAAATGAAAACTAGGAGTAGTAGCGTTTTGAAAGTATTTCACAGAAATTTCTATTTTTAGTAACCATGACAACACCATTCACCCAAATAAAAAAAAACAGAAATACATATTATGTATTGTAGTGTATTCTAACTGTGTGCCAAATTAGATTGAAATCAGACCAAAATTGTAGGAGGAGTAACGTTTTAAAGGAATTTCACAGAAATTTCTATTTTTAGTAACCATGGCAACACCGTCCATCGAAATCAAAAACCGATGCACTAAATTATGTATCTTAGTGTAGTCTACTTGTGTGCCAAGTTATATTGAAATCGGACCAAAACTGTAGGAGGAGTAGTGTTTTAAAGGAATTTCACAGAAATTTCTATTTTTAGTAACCATGGCAACACCGTCCATCGAAATCAAAAACCGATGCAATAAATTATGTATCTTAGTGTAGTCTACTTGTGTGCCAAGTTATATTGAAATTGGACCAAAACTGTAGGAGGAGTAGCGTTTTAAAGGAATTTCACAGAAATTTCTATTTTTAGTAACCAAGGCAACACCGTCCATCGAAATCAAAAACAGATGCACTAAATTATGTATCTTAGTGTAGTCTACTTGTGTGCCAAGTTATATTGAAATCGGACCAAAACTGTAGGAGGAGTAGTGTTTTAAAGGAATTTCACAGAAATTTCTATTTTTAGTAACCATGGCAACACCGTCCATCGAAATCAAAAACCGATGCACTAAATTATGTATCTTAGTGTAGTCTACTTGTGTGCCAAGTTATATTGAAATCGGACCAAAACTGTAGGAGGAGTAGCGTTTTAAAGGAATTTCACAGAAATTTCTATTTTTAGTAACCATGGCAACACCGTCCATCGAAATCAAAAACCGATGCACTAAATTATGTATCTTAGTGTAGTTTACTTGTGTGCCAAGTTATATTGAAATCGGACCAAAACTGTAGGAGGAGTAGCGTTTTGAAAAATTGTTTACAGACAGACGGACAGACAGACAGACAGACGGACGGACGACGGACACCTTACTATCGCATAAGCTCTTCTGGTCTCTGACCAGTAGAGCTAAAAAACAGGGTGATCAGGATCAACAAAATAAGTAGTCTAGTGTTCATTAACAGTACATAAATTAGGTTCTAATCTGTTCCCAATTTATCACTCTCACCAGACAGTATATAAACAAATTTATAATCAGTGCTTCTATACTCTTTTAATTCCTTGTTGAAATCTCTTACATTGGCCTCTCTTGGTCTTTGATGAACATTCAATAAGACAAGTTATTTTTGTCTCATTTTTATTTCTCTATTACTTACAAGTCTACCTGATCATTAAAACTATGAAAGTACTTTTTGTATTATACAATAACAAGAGGCCCAAGGACCTTAACGGTCACCTGAGTATAATACAACAATTTAGAAGTTAAATACACTGACAGATGAAACTTTGTTGCCCTAAGGCAAGAGAAGAAGGAAGATCAGGATCAACAAAATAATTAGTCTACTCATAAATTAAGTTCTAATCTGTCCCCCACTTAACACTATCACCATGCAGACTATTAACAAACTATTAGTGCTTCTGTACTATTTTTATTTAGACCTCTAGCATTGACCTCTCTTATGGTCTTTTGAAGAACTTTTAATAAGATAAGTTATTTTTGTCTCATTTTTATTTATCTATTACTTACAGGTCTACCTGATTATTAAAACTAAGAAAGTACTTTTTGAATTATACAATAAACATTCTTGCATAATTATCTTATTCTATTAACCTTTCAAATACATTATTTACAGTGATTAATTATCAAAGGTGAATGGAAAAGGGGAATAACTTCTCTCAGTAAAATACAAATTAATAGCCCTGCCCAGGACCAGAATGCTTAGACAAATGGTCCAGATGATCAAATCTGGTAGAAATACGCTTACTTATATCATTTAAACTTTTACTCAGTTTGCTTCCGATATCCCAGAAGCAGAGAGGAATTTCACAGGTACAATGCATTTTCACTACAGATTCAACAAAGCCTTACCCTAACACCAGAACCAAAGACCAAGGGTCAAGAAATTTACAAATTTGGAAGAGTTACCCTTATCATCCTATCTATGGTCTTCAAAGAATTAACACTTTTCCACTATATCATCAAAAGTCACCCCACCCCACCCCCCCCCCCACCCCCATTATGCCAGAACCCCTGACCCTAGGACCTCAAGATTTAAAAATTCTGTTTGAAGCTCCCATTTTCATCATAGCTAAGCAATTTATTTATCAGCTCAACACTATGGAGCATACAGGATTAATTAATGATTAATTAATAGAATCAATGCTTTTTTTCACTATATAATCAATAGAGCCCCCCCCCCCCCCTTCCTCAAGAACCCCAAAAACTGAGGCCATATATTTAAAAATTTTGGAAGAGGCATCCTTGCCTACCATAATCATGCTCTTAGTTTGTTTAAATAATCTCCAGTAGCAGAGAGGAAGATTTTCAAAGAATCAATGCATTTTCACTATATAATCAATAGAGCCCCACCCTAACACCAGAACCCCTGACCCTGGGGCCATGAAATTCACAATATTTGAAAAGGCACTTTTGCTCATCATAACTATGTACTTAGTTACTTTATTTAATACCCAGGAGCAGAAAAAGATTTTCAAAGAATTAATGCATTTTCACTATATAATCAATAGAGCCCCACCCATACACCAGAACCCCTGACCCAGGGGCCATGGCTTTCACAATTCTGGAAGAGGCCCACCTCCTCATCATAACTATGTACTTAGTTTATCACCTTAATGCCCAGGAGCAGAGGAGAACATTTTCAAAGAATTAATGCATTTTCACTATAAAGTCAATAGAGCCCCACCCTAACACCAGAACCCCTGATCATGGGGTCATGAAATTTACAATTTTGGAAGAGGTACTCTTGCTCATCATAACTATGTATTAAGTTACTTTATTAAATATCCAGGAGCAGAGAAGAAGATTTTCAAAGAATTAATGCATTTTCACTATATAATCAATAGAGCCCCGCCCTTACACCAGAACTCCTGACCCTTGGGCCATGAATTTCACAATTTTGGAAGAGGCACTCTTGCTCATCATAACTATGTACTTAGTTACTTTATTTAATACCCAGGAGCAGAGAAGAAGATTTTCAAAGAATTAATGCATTTTCACTATATAATCAATAGAGCCCTGTCTTAACACCAGAACCCCTGACCCTGGGGCCATGAATTTCACAATTTTTGAAGAGGCTCTCTTGCTCTTCAAAACTTTGTACTTAGTTACTTTATTTAATACCCAGGAGCAGAGAAGAAGATTTTCAAAGAAATAATGCACTTTCACTATACGATCTATATAGCCCCACCCTGGGGCCAGAACCCCTGACCCTGGGGCCATGAATTTCACAATTTTGGTAGAGGGCTCAATGCTTATTACAATGATGCCAACAGTTTGACTGCTTGATGTCCAGGAGTAAAGATTGCATTATTTTTGGTGGTTTTAGCCCCACCCCTCAGGCCACAGGGGGGCAGGGACCATGAAATTCACAATTTTTGTTCACCTTCACCCATAGATGCTATATGCCAAATTTGGTTGAAATTGGTTAAGCGGTTTCAGAGAAGAAGCTAAAAATGTTCAAATGTTCACGCACGACGCACGCTGACGGACGAGAACGGATAGCAATAGGTCACCTGAGTCACTCAGGTGACCTAATAATTCTTGCATAATTCTCTTATTCTATTAACCTTTCAAGTACATTATTTACAGTGATTAATTATCACAAGTAAATGGCAAAGGGGAATAACTCCTCTCCTCTCGGTAGAATACAAATACAAATAGAGCCCTGGCCTGGACCAGAACACTTGACCAAATGGTTCTGATGTTCAAAAATCTGGTAAAAATACCCTTCCTTATTAAAACTTTTACTCTTTTTGCCTCTGATATGCCCAGGTGCAGAGAAGATTTTTAAAGCATTAATGCATTTTCACTATATAATAAATAGAGCCCTGCCCTAACATCAGAACCTCTGATCCAGGGGTCATGAAATTCACAATTTTGGAAAAGGCATCCTTGCTTATCATAACCATGTATTTTCAAAGAAAAAATCCACTTTCACTATATGATCTATATAGCCCCACCCTAGCACCAGAACCCCTGACCCTGGGGCTATGAATTTCACAATTTTGGTAGAGTCACTCTTGCTTATCATGACTATGTATTCAATTTGTTTCAATAATACCCAGGAGTAGAGAAGAAGATTTTCAAAGAAATAATGCACTTTCACTATATGATCTATATAGCCCCACCCTAGCACCAGAACCCCTGACCCTGGGGTCATGAATTTCACAATTTTGATAGAGTCACCCTTGCTTATCATAACTATGTATTCAATTTGTTTCAATAATACCCAGGAGTGGAGAAGAAGATTTTCAAAGAAGTAATGCACTTTCACTATATGATCTATATAGCCCCGCCCTAGCACCAGAGCCCCTGACCCTGGGGCCATAAATTTCACAATTTTGGTAGAGGGCTCAATGCTTATTACAATCATGCCAACAGTTTGACTGCTTGATGTCCAGGAGTAAAGAAGATTTTTAAAGATTGCATTAATTTTGATGGTTTTGGCCCCACCCCTCAGGCCCCAGGGGGGCTGGGGCCACAAATTTCACAATTTTTGTTCCCCTTCACCCATAGATGCTATATGCCAAAATTGGTTGAAATTGGTTTGCTGGTACCAGAGAAGCTGAAAATGTTCAAAAGTTTACGACCGACGGACGACGACAGACGAAAAGAGATAGCAATAGGTCACCTGAGTGACTCAGGTGACATAAAAATCCAAATTGTAATTGTAATTTAATTGATAACTTTTGAAAGTCATTGACCCCATTCCTGGATATCAAGGGTAAAATGTTATAAAGATATGTGATTGGTAGTTCCAAATCACTTCACCATACTCATGGCATTCGAGATACCAGTGTTTGAGATACTGAAGTTCAACCACAGTAGTAATTCATTGAATATCATGGTTTTTTTTTCTTTATCTCAAAAATCTTGATGTGAGCCCATTGCTGAGGTGTATGAGTGAGAAAGAAATGAACAACAACACTGCATAATAGGTTGATTATATTCGCTTTAATAGAAAAACCAAGATGTTAAGCAGTAGCAAGGAGATGACATAACAACTTAGATGGTGCTACATATGTAATGAAAATAATAAAAATTATTTTTTGAAAAAGGCAATTATTTTCTCTGGTTAGTAAATCTTTGCTAGAAAAACAGGTCAAACTTCAAGCTCAAAGTCATGGGGCCAAAAATCATAATATATTTAGAAAGTTCTTGTCACAAGTAATGTACATGTGAAATATGAAAGCCCTATCTTTTCTCATTCAAAAGTTTTGATCAAGGTTAAATTTTTTTCTACCAAATGAATGCACAAGCCAACTAAAATTGAAATATCTAATCCACATTTTGATGCAAGTGAATTAAAGGTACCCTAAGCATGTATTCATCAATACTTACTGATTTCAGTATCTTCAAGGAATCTAAGCTGTAAATCCATACAATTAATTTAAAATCAGTTATTTAGCAACTTACTTCAGAATGGTATTCCCTGCACGCCACGTGGAGGATGTTGTGTTACAGCTATTAGGGGTGTCTGTTATCTCCTTTAGTGTTCCATTAACAAGGTCTTTGACAGTCTGCACAATAAGACTGACACAATCCTCTAAGTGAGCCTTTTCATTATTTCCATGGGATAACTTCAGGCCCAGGGTACCTACATGTAAGAGAGTTAAGGCTAGCTTTAGGCATTTCTATGCAAATGAACTAATTAAACAAACCTGAATCTACACTACCTGAGAATGCTTCCATATTTCTTTGACCCCAGGGGTCATGATTTTAACAATTTAGAATCTACACTACCCAAGGATGCTTCCACATAAGTTTCAGCTTTTCTGGCCCAATGGTTCTTGAGAAGATTTATAAAGATATTTTCTACATATTTCAATGTAAAACTTGGTTTTACTATTGTGGCCAAGCCCTTCCCCCGGGGGTCATGAATTTAACAATTTAGAATCTACACTACCCCAGCATGCTTCCACATAAGTTTCAGCTTTTCTGGCCAAGTGGTTCTTGAGAAGAAGACTTTAAAAGATTTTTTTCTTAGTATTTCAA